AACATTTACCATACTACTGTAAGAAAGGGATTGGCAGTAGTGGGATACTGTTGGGATGGGGTGGGGACACAATATCAATAAGGGTACCTGCTCTCAAACCAGGCAAAGTAGGGTCCAAAGGAGGGGCTCAAACTTTACCTGTACAATGACCACTTGTATACCTAATCCTGAATTGTACCCCACATCTTTAAAATAAAATAAATTTTTAAAAATTAAAAAATTGGAAAAGAATTGTACACATTTATGGCTTACGACATGATTATTTTGATATATGTATACATTTTGGAATGGCCAAATGAGGCTAATGAACATACCTCACATGCTTATTTTTGTGTGTGTTGAGACCACTGAAGATTTATCTTCTTAGCAAATTTCAAGTACACAACACCTGGTTATTAATATAGGGACGGTGTTGCACAATAGGTCTCCTGAACTTATCCTTCCTAACTGAGATGTTGTGTCCTTGGACCAACATCTTTTCCATCCTCTCACTGACCATCGCTTCTCCCCCAACTCAGAAACCATCATTCTATATTCCACTTTTATAAGTCTGACTGTTTTATATTCCACATATAAGTTAGGTCATACATGGTGTCATACATGACAGGATCTCCTTTTTAAAAGCTGACTAGTATTCCTTTGTGTACATATTTCATATTTTCTGTATCCCTTCATCTGTTGACGGACACTTAAGTCGTTTCCATATCTTGGCTTTTGTGACTAATGCTGCAGTGAACATGGGGGTGCAGCTATCGCTTTGACATGCTAATTTAATTTCCTTTTGCTATATATGCAGACGTGGGATTGCTGAGTCACATGGTAATTCTACTTTTAATTATTTGAGGAAGCTCCGTTCTGTTTTTCCTAATGGTTGTGCTAAGTTACATTCTCATCAACAGTGAACAAAGGTTCCCTTTTTGTTACATTCTCGCCAATAGCCAATACTTATCTCTTGTCTTTTTTCATCATAATCATCCTAACAGTGTGAGGTGATATCTTATTGTGGGCTTAATTTACATTTCTCTGATGATTAGTGATGCTGAACATTTTTTCATATACCTATTGGCCATTGGTTTGTATTCATTGATAAATGTCTTTTCAGGTCCTTTGCCCAGTCTCTTATATTTTTAATTGATGAATTTAGCTCGCTTATGTTTATCAATATGACTATTATATTTGACCTTAGTCTGCTATTTTAAATCATTACAAAAAGTTTAAAAGACCTTTTGTACAATATTTATCTTAACCTAATGATATTTAAAGAATTTATTTCTTCTGATATTTAAAAAGGGTTGTATATTCCATTGGTAACCTTTATAATTATAAATTTACCCAATGCATTATGTCTTCTTTCTTTTGACAATACTATTTAATTCTTATTATAAGATATGATAAAATTAGTGTATATTGTCTTCCCTTCTGCTCCTCTACCTCACTTCCACCATACAATTTTCGTCAATTATATGCTTTTTATCAGTGTTCATCTTAGGAATATCACATTGTCTATCTATCTATCTATCTATCTATCTATCTATCTATCTATCTATCTAATCTGTGACTTTGCTAGTTTTAAGTAACATCCCTTGACTTTTAGTCATTTGTCTTTACAGTTCTGTAATTTTTACTGTATATATTTTGAAACTGCTTACTCATTTAGAATTATGTCTTCTTGCTTAATTGATCCTTTTATCACCATATGACATCTCTCTTTATATCTGGCGATAGTCCTTATTCTAAAGCCTTTTCCCCCTAATATTTATACTGTCCCTCTGGCTTTTTTTTAACAAAGTTATTGTTACATTTCTCATCTTTGTTCTACAGTATGCAGTGTTTCTATTTTCTCTGGTTTCCTTAAGGTATTTTTCTTTATCTTTGGTTTTCAGCAGTTTGACTATGATTTGTCAAGTTTTTTCCTGCATGTGTTGTTCTGAAGTTCTTAGCTTTCTGGTTTGTTTTATCACATTAATTTAAGAAAATTCTTGGCTATTATTTCTCTAGATATTTCTTCTGTCCTATTCTTCCTCTCTTCTTTTTCTGTGACTCCATTTACACATTTGTCAGACAATTATATTATTCTTGAGTTTTTGGATTCTATGTTCAGTCTATATTTTAGACTCTTCTTATTTTGTTTCATTTGAAAGCGTTCTATGAGTTATCTTCAAGGTCATTGATTTTTTTTTCCTCAACTGTGTTCAATCTGCTACTAAATTTGTTGCTTTTTTTTTTTTTTAAGAGACAGGTTCTCACTCTGCTACCCACACTAGAGTACAGTGGTATGATCAAAGCTCACTGCAGTCTCAGACTCCAGGGCTCAAACAATCCTCCATCGGACTATGGGTGTGTGCCACCATACCTAGCTAATTCTTAAATTTTTACATAGAGATGAGGGTCTCACTAAGTTGCCAAGGCTGATCTTGAATTTCTGGGCTCAAGCAATCCTTCTGCTTCAGCCTCCCAAAGCACTGGAATTACAGGCATGAGTTACAGTGCCTGGCCTGAATAATTTTCTGATTCTCTTTTTTTAGTTTCCATCTCTTTGGTGATATTTTCCTTATGTTTATGCATATCATCCACATTTTCCATTATATTATTTGACTTATTAAATTATTATCATTAAATATTTTAATACCTTTGTTTGGAACTTGTAACATCTGAGTTATTGCTGGGTCTGGTTCTGTTAATTGCTTTATAATTTGACAATGGACTTTTGTGATGGGGCTTTCTCAGCATTGACATTCCCCCTCCCCCAGAAGCCAAATGCTTTTGAATTTTCTGCCCTGATCCAAGTAGGCCCTAACCACTGCTTTGTATCAGGCAGGATCCTGGGCAGGAGAGATTTTTCTGCTCCTTCTCTGGAGCAGAATGTTCTAGTTTCTACCTCTCCTTTGGAAGCAATAGATCTTTGTCTGTCCCTAGTGCAGGAGAATTTTCTGTCCCCCTCCCAGTGGCTTATTGCTTTTGTTCCCTAAGAGGAAGATCCTAGGGAAGAAGGTGGAGTTTGGGGCCTATGTGCTACAAGGAGGACTCTCGGGTTTCCTTTCCTGCTCCTAGTTTTCCACTTGTGGAGACCAGTGGAAAAGAGCCTGTTAAAGGTAGCTGATGTTCCCTTGCCCATGGGGTTCCCAGTTATTCTAAAGTGTTACACTGGCTCACATGTAACCTACCAGTTTATTAACATCTTAAAAGTTTCCTTCATGCCTGCTCTTATGACAACCAACTCTTTAACCTCCGCTCTGCCGAAGGTGAAATAATATATATGTCCCATCACTTCTTGACATTCCTTAGAATTCAATTTACTTGGCTACTTACAACTGTAGCCCTCGGGTGGGGTCCAGACAATTATAATTTTGTAGATTGAAAAGCTCTTTCTCATTGGTAGAAAGGGAGCAATGTTGCCTTGTGGCTTTCTTTTACTATTGTTATTATTTTTATTAATTTAATTTTTTTTTTAATAGAGATGGGGTCTCATTAGGTTACTCAGGCTGATCTCAAACCCCTGAACCAAAGCAATCCTCTCGCCTTGGTCCTCTAAAGTGCTGGAATTATGAGTGTGAGCATTGAGCCACTGTGCCTGGGCTCAGTGTCCACATTTTTAAATTGCTAATTTACTTATGCTTGACCAGTTGTGCTTCATTGCTAAGTTGGGATTACTGAGCATGCAATAGCTGCTAATGTAGTAATTTGAACAAGCATTCAATTGCAGTGAAGGATATTGAACTTAATTTGTCCTTTCCCTTACCGCTTTAGACTGTCATCAATGTATAGTACTGAACTGTCATGCAGGAACGTCTGCTGGACTTAGTGACTTTTCAGGATGTTTCTTTTCCCTAAGGGGTTCTAATTAGAATGTTTTGAATTACTACCTTTGCTTCGTATAGCATTTCTTGTTTGGGCTTTATTATCAGACTGATAGTTGTCACTTCTCACTACAATCAATGATTCTGTCTCTAACCTTTCCTCCTTATTTTAATTTGGCAGTCCTAATCTGTGGTGAGCTTAGAAATCTATCACTCAACTTTTGAGAGTTTCCTACAAAATAAGAGACAGAGGGACTTTTCATGTGATACTGCATGTGTAGTTTATTGACTGCAATTTTAAATGGTTTTTTGGTACTTGTTCTTTTATTTTCTACCTGTATTCTTAGTAGGCACATTTACTGGATAATTGAGTTCTGAATAGTGGAGTGGTGCTTATTACTACAAGCAAAACTGCTGTGTAAAAGATTCCACGGAATGTTTTCTATCATAACTAGGCTTTAAAAAATAAGCACTAAATATCATATCTTCATCATTCAAAATTTAAGGGTGCAACTAAAATGACTTAGTGTTTCTGTACCAAAGTGGCAGGTGAGTGGATCAACGTGGAAAAGGGGATATGTTACATAGATACCACAACTTTCCTTTTGTCTTTCTTCTTCCTGGCTTCAAAGTGTGTGTGTGTGTGTGTGTGTGTGTGTGTGTGTGTGTGTGTGTGTGTGTGTGTTTTGGGTCGTGGTCCTACTCTATCACCCAGGCTGGAGTGCAGTGGCAAGGATCATGGCTCACCAAAGCCTCAGTCTCTTGGGCTCAGGCGATTCTTCCACCTCAACCTCCCCAGTAGCTTGTACTCCAGGCATGTGCCATCCTACCTTGCTAATTGTCTGATTTTTTTTTTTTTTTTGTAGAGATGAGGTCTTGCTATTTTTCCTAGACTGATCTTAAAGTCCTGGATTCAATCCTCCTGCCTCGGTTTCCCAAAGTGGTGGAATTTTACAGGTATTAGCCACTGTGCCCAGACGAAAGTGTTTTTTTTTGATATGTTTCATCTTGGTGAGAATTTAGAGAAGTTACTTTGCACAATACAGCTGTGTAATATAAAAATCATGCTAAAGCATTTTGAGGAAATGTGATATGATATTAACAATATCATGTAGAAAAACCTAAAAAACCCTGATATCTAAAATGAATTAGACAACACAGAAAATTTCATTGACTTTTAAAGAAAAAGATACAGTAACTTACAGCCAATGAAGTCTTGGCATGTGTTGACAAAAAGGTTTATCAGGCAAACGGGTGAGGACATTATTCATCAGGACTCTGAAAAAGAAAAAAAAAGGAAGTCACATTTTTTTAGTTCTTTTCTCATCTTAAGTCAGACATGATATTATTATCTTTATAAACCATGGAAGTCCACTAATTGCCTCCTCCCTCGAATTTTTCTCTGTTAAGTCCTATTATAATTAAATCCAGATAGTAATAAAATGTTGACAAATAGTTGTTATTAAATGGAGGAGGCAGTAATGTTAGTAACTGAAAAAAGTTTGAGCCCTTCAACAATAAGTACAGAAAAGGAGGCGATTTTAAAAGAATTTTTTTCTTTACCAATATTAATATAGGCACATCTCGTTTCATTGTACCTTGCTTCACTGCTCTCACAGATATTGCTTTTTGTTTTTACAAATTGAAAGTTTGTGGAAACCTTGTTTTGGGTAAGTCTATCGACACCATTTCTTTAACAGCATATGCTCATTTCATGTCTCTGTGTCACATTTTGGGAATTCTCACAATATTTCAGATTTTTTTTATTGTGCCTGTATCTGCTGTGGTGATCTGTGATCCTTGATGTTACTATTGTAATTGTTTTGGGAATCATGAATTGTGTCCACATGAGATGACAAACTTAATTGATAAATGTTATGTGTATTCTGACTGCTCCACCAACTAGCTATTCCCTAACTCTCTTGCTCTCCACAGGTCTCTGTATTCCCTGAGACACAACAATGTTAAAATTAGGCCACATAATAACTCTAAAATGACCTCTGAATGTTCAAGTGAAAGGAAGGACCACAAATCCCTCACTTTAAATGAAAAGTCAGAAATGGCCAGGCGCAGTGGCTCACGCCTTTGGGAGGCTGAGGTGAGAGGATTGCTTGAGCCCATGGGTTCTAGACCAGCCTGGGCAATTTGGCAAGACCTCATCTCTACAATAAAAAATAAAGAAAAAGAAATTAGTCAGACGTGGTGGTGTGTGCCTGTAGTTCCAGCTAATTGGAAGGCTGAAGTGGAAGGATCGCCTGAGCCCAGCAGGTCAAGACTGCAGTGACTGGGAGCGTGCCACTGCACTCCAGCCTGGACGACAGAGTGAGACTCCAACAACAATGACAACAAAAAGTCAGAAATGATTAAGTTTAGAGAGAAAGGCTTGTTGAAAGCCAAGATGGATCAAAAGCTAGGCCTCTTGTGCCTAGACCAACTTTTTAGTTAGTCAAGTTATCAATGCAAAGGAAAAATTCTTTAGGGAAGCTAAAACTGCCACTCCAATTAATACATTCATCTGCAAAACAGCCTCATTGCTGATCTGAAGAAAGTTTGAGTGATCTGGACAGATGATTAAGTAAGCCACAACCCCTTAGGACAAAGAATAATCCAGAGCAAGGCTCTAACTCTCCTCAATTCTATGAGGCCTGAGAGAAGTGAGGAAGCTGTAGAAGAAAAGTTGGAAGCTAGGAGAGGTTGGTTTATGAAGTTAAGGTAAGGACCTATCTCCATAACAGAAAAGTTCAAGGTGAAGCAGCAAGTGCTGATGCAGAAGCAGCAGCAAGTGACCCAGAAGATCTAGCTAGATAATCGATGAAGGTGGCTACACTAAAAAACAGATTTTCAATGTGGATAAAACAGCCTTCTACTGATATGTTTCATCTTTAAATTCTCACCAAGATGAAAAAAACATATCAGAACTTTCATAGCTGGAGAGGAGAAATCAATGCCTAGCTTCAAAGCTTCAAAGGACAACCTGACTTTTTTGTTAGGGGCTAATGCAGCCGGTGACTTGAAGTGGAAGCTATTGCTCATTTATCATTCCAAAAATTATAGAACCCTTAAGAATGATACCAAATCTACTCTACCTGTGCTCTATCAGTGGAACAACAAAGCCTGGATTATAGCACATCTGTTTATAACGTGGTTTACCAAATATTTTAAGCCCACTGTTGAAATCTACTGCTCAGCCACATGGAACCAACCATGGTTCAGTTGCCCATTGAAACTGAACTGGATTAAAAACAAACATGGTACTATACACAATGGAATATTATGCAGCCATAAAGAAGGACAAACATATGGACTTTGCAGTAAATTGGATGAATTTAGAGTCTATCATATCAATGATCTATCACAGAAACAGAGAACTGAGTGCCACATGTTCTCACTCATAAGCGGACCTTGAACAATTATCACAATACTATTAGAAAGGGATTGGCAGTAGTGGGAAACCGCCAGGGGAAGGGGAGCCACACGTCATCAACAAGGGTATCTGCATAATGAACGTCTGTATACCTAGCCCTAAATTGTACTCCATAACTTAAAAAAAAGAAAAAAGAAATTCACTGCTCAGAAAAAAGATTCCTTTCAAGATATTAATACTCATTGACAATGCACCCGGTCCCCCAAGAGCACTGATGGAGATGTGTGTACTAGGAGATTAATATTGTTTTCATGCCTGCTAACACAATCATCCAATCAGTAGCCCATGGATCAAGGAGTAATTTTGACTTTCAAATCTTATTATTTAAGAAATTCCTTTTGTAGAAACCAACAAGAGAGCAGAGAGACATCCCACAGAATGGGAAAAAATATTTGCCAACTGTATATCTGACAAAGTCCTAACATCTAGGGTCTACAAGGAACTCAAACACGCCGAAAGGACAAAAAATAAACAGCTCCATTAAAAAGTGGGCAAAAGACATGAATAGACACTTCTTAAAGAAGATGTATGGGCAGCCCACAGACACATGAAAAAGTGCTCAGCTTCACTCATCATCAGAGAAATGCAAATCAAAACCACATTGAGATACCACCTAACCCCAGTAAAAATGGCCATCATTAATAGAACAAACAACAAGAGATGCTGGCGAGGATGCAGAGAAAAAGAAATGCTTCTACACTGCTGGTGGGAATGCAAACTAGTGCACCCTCTTTGGAAGACAGTGTGGCGATTTCTGAAAGAACTAGATATTGACCTTCCATATGACCCAGCAAGTCCCCTATTGGGAATATACCCAGAGGAACTCAAATCATTCTACACAAAAGATACCTACACACGCATGTTTATTGCAGCTCTATTCACAATAGCAAAAACATGGAACCAACCATGTTGCCCTTCGAAGTTGGACTGGATAAAAAAAAATGTGGTATACATACACAATGGAATATTATGCAACCATAAAGAAGGACAAACATAAGGACTTTGCACCAACTTGGATGGATTTAGAGACGATCTTACTCAGTGATCTATCACAGAAACAAAGAACAGAGTACCATATGTTCTCACTCATAAGTGGACCTTGAACAATAATCATAATACTATAAGAAAGGAATTGGCAGTGGTGGGAAACTGTCAGAGGAGGGGAGGTGGTATTGGCAGTTGAGGGAAACTGCTAGGGGAGGGAGGGGCATACTTCATCAACAAGGGTACCTGCATAATCAACGTTTGTATATCTAACCCTGAATTGTACCCCACATCTTTATAATAATAATAATGAAAACCTTTTGTAAGGCTCTAGCTGCCATAGATAGTGATTTCTCTGATGCATCTAGGCAAAGCCAATTAAAAACATTCTGGAAAGCATTCACCATTCTAGATGCCATTACAAGTATTTGGTATTCATGGGAGGAAGTAAAAATATTCACATTATCAGGAGCTTGGAAGTTGATTCCAACTCTCATGGATGACTTTGAGGGCTTAAAACTTCAGTGGAGGAAGGAACTACACATGGGGTAGAAATAGCAAGAGAACTAGAATGAGAAGTGAAGCCTGAAGATGTAACTGAATTCCTGCAATCTCATGATAAAACTTGAACGTATGAGGAGCTGCTTCTTATGAATGAGCTAAGAAGGTGTTTTTTTGAGATGGAATTTATTCCTAGTAAAGATGTTGCAAACATTGCTGAAATGATAACAATGGATTTAGAATAGTACATTAACTTAGTTAATAAAGCAGTGGTAAGATTTGTGAGAGTTGACTCCAATTTTGAGAGAAAATCTAATGTGGGTAAAATGCTATCAAATAATATTGCACACTACAGAGAGAGCTTTTGCGAAATGAAGAGTCAATCGATGTGACAAGCTTCATTGTTGTCTTATTTTTTAAAATGGGCACATCCATCCCAACATTCAGCAGCTACCAGCTTGATCTGTCAGCAGCCATCAACACTGAGGCAAGACCCTCCGTCGGCAAAAAGATTATGACTCACTGAAAACTCACTGAAACTCAGATGATTGCTAGCACGTTTTAGCAATAATGATGTACATAAAATAAGGTATGTACAACAGCATTATATTTACTTAACAGACTATAGTATAGTATAAATACAAATTTTGTATGCACTGGGAAAAATTTGTGTGACTTGTTTTATTGTGATATTCACTTTATTATGTAGTTTGGAAGCAAACCTGCAATATCTCTCAGGTATGCCTGTATAGAGCAATCATGATGAGCTTAAGAATATTTCAGTAAAATATGATAGTTAAGCTGGATTATATTTTTAATGGGATGGTGTTCTACAAGACAGAAAATCTTACAAAATTGTTAAAACTATAAATAGCTTTATAGAATATGATTAAGAGAGGGTTTTTAGTTGAAAAGGCTTTTTAAGATTTTAACAATTCCAAATGTAGTGTTACTAAATTTAAGCATTAATTTATATTTATGTCTTTTCCTGCAGTTGAGATATTTGCTGTAGTTTAGTACTTACAAGAGAATAAGAGAATTTAGTCCATAAAATGTTAGTGGGGAAATTCGACTGAGGTGGTTATCTTCAATTATCCTGCCAGTCAGAAGAAAAAAATTAATTCATTTCTATATCTTTAGAACCTAAAAACCAATACTATAAAATGCCACATAAATTAAACATACAGCCATTCTAGTCTGTGAAGATCTTCAAAGACACCCGGCTTCAGGAAGGTTATTCTGTTTCGACTGAGATACCTGGAAAAGAAAAAATGGCTACAATAAATTTGTGCCCTTTTGATGTTTTACAATAAGGAAAGTAAAACAATGATCAGCTGTCTTAAATGTTCTTGTATATCATTCTTATCTTGCCACTTCCCTGCCTTTGAATCTCCAAGGTTCCTATTGCTTATGTTATCATCTCTAGCTTTTTTTTTTTTCTGAGTTGGAGTCTCACTCCATCACCCAGGCTGGAGTGCAGTGGCACATACACTCATGACCAGCCTGGCATCAACCTGCTGGGCTCAGGAGATCCTTCTGGTGTGTGCTACCATGCCTGACTACTTTTTGATTTTTATTGTAGAGATGAGGTCCCGTCAAGTTGCCCAGGCTGGTCTCGAACCTGTGGGCTAAGGCAATCTCCTCACCTCGGCCTCCCAATGGGCTGGGATTACAGACTTGAGCTACTGTGACTGGCTGTTTCTAGCTTTTAATTTCCCCATAATTAATTTTTTTTTTTAGTCAGGGTCTCACTCTTTTGTCCAGGCTGAAGTGCACTGGCACAATCACATCTCACCAAAGGCTCTACCTCCTGGGCTCAGGCGATCCTTCTACCTCAGCCTCCCAAGTTGAGACTACTGGCATACGTCTCCATGCCTAGCTAATTTTTTGATTTTTTTTTTAAACGAGGTCCTGCTATGTTGCCCAGGCTGGTCTCAAATTCCTGGGCTCAAGTAATCCTTCCACATTGGCCTCCAAAAATGCTGGAATTACAGGTGTGAGCCTCTACACCCAACCTTAATTTCCCCATAATTAGTCAATCAATCTACTTATTTATCCATCTATTCATCAACTTGTTTTAAGTACCCACTCTTAGGTCCTGTGCTAAGCCTGTCGCTGCTTTCTTTGAGTCAGGAGGAGAGAAAGCATGTGAACAGGTTATTGTGCAACACGGGGACGACAGAGGGAAGTGTATAATAGGGTTGATTTGCCATTGCAGAGGAGAAAGCACCTGGCTTTGTTGATGTAGGGACCAGAGCGTGGAGGAATGAGAAGATGGGGAAGTCTTTACTAAAGGAGGCACAGTTGAGACAAGTCTTGAGTGAAGACATGCAATTCACAAAGCAAAGAATGGGCTGAAGCTATTTTTAGGCAGAAGAAATTGCTTATACAAAAGCAAGAGGCATAAGAGAGTCAAGAGTTAAGGAAACACCAGGTAATTCAGTGGGGCCTCATCCCAAGGGGCTGTGATAAGACGGGAGACGAGCGGCTGAAGTCCTGTTCTAGAAAAACGGGTATTGTTTGCCTTGCTAAAGAACTTGACCCCGCTTTACCCAGCCAACTTGACTTCCCATTCTTTGCAAGGTGAGCTGACTCTCTGTTCTGTTGTATCAGCTCCTCCTCCTGTCATGTTCATTCCTGTCTCAAGCTCTTCAGAGTAGCGATTCATTGCAATAAGTCAGCTATCAAACAGCTTGATTCTTGACTCTTCTACTTATTAACAGCATGACCTTGAGCACACAATGCATTCCTGTAAGTCTCGGCTTCCCCGACTCTAAAATGGGGATCATGTCAGTACCTACTTCCCAGAGTTGGAAGATTTGAGTCAATGCCTGCCGTAAATACCAATACACTTTATTTACCAGAGCAAAGGCTCTGCTCATGCTCTGAACTCCAATTTCTTCCCTCTTCTTTTTTCTTTCCACCTATGATTCATATGTAAGCATAGTTCAAGCTTCCACTGATATATGGCTCACCTTGATTTCTCTCTTTTCTACACTCTAACATATCTAAGAGTTGACAGTCTATAAAATCTCTCCTGCCAGGACTCTGCTCTCCCCTGCCAGGTTTGACTTGTGCTGTCCTTAGGGGTAGTGACTTTTACTTTAGGGGTGGTAAGAGATGACATCCCTGATAGAGACACGTTCTTCCCTCTTTTGGAACCCTGGAGCTCAGGTGGGCACAGGAAGGGGTAAGAAACAGTTTTAACACCTCTCCTGAATTTCTGGCAGGTTCTCTCCTAAGCCAACAACAACCATCCAGGTAAAAGACATTTGATCCACCACTGTTTCTGGTCTCATCTGTTTGGCCCAGTCCTCTTTACTTTTCAGAGCCATCTTTCACTGCTCTGGACCCAAAATGAACTGAAAAGCAGTTCTGGTCTGAGCAACATAAGTTTAGGACTTAAGTGCTTTTGAAAAATTGTTCTCTCATTGTTGATGTTGGCATCGTTTTCCTGTCTTAGATCATAAGCTTCTAGAGCACAAGTACCATGCCTCCCCCAATGTTCCTTGAAATATTAAGGCGCTGCAGAAAGGTCACATGTCTGATTTACCTTTTTATGTCCTCATGGTGTCTGCCTGAAGCACTTGCACTCTTTAAGGCTTAATGAATACTTAGGGATGAATGCAGAACATGTATCTAATGATTATTTATGAAAAACTAGAAGTATGTGGCATCTTTAATACTCAAACAATATTCCAGAGCTGTTTTAAAAAACTGTGAAAAAAGCCAGGTACAGTAGCTCATGCCTGTAATCCCAGCACTTTGGAAGGCTGAAGTGGGAGGATCACTTGAGTCCAGGAGTTTGAGACCAGCCTAGGCAACATAGCAAGACCCCTTATCTACAGAAAAATAAAAATAAAAAATAAAAAAAATTGCTGGGCATGGTGGCATGCACTGTAGTCCCAGCTCCTTGGGAGGCTGAGGCTGCGGTGGACCATGATAATGCCACTGCCCTCCAACCTGAGTGACAGAGTGAAACCCTGACTTAAACAGACAAACAAAAAACAAAAAGGATGGAGGACATTTTCACATGGACTCCCCAGTTCTGCAGTACCGTTTGAGTGTTCCCTCCACATCCATTGAACATTAAATCAAGTTTTGAAAAGATTCCTGGAGAGAAAGATAGTCAGGAGCCTGATGAACATGAGTCTAATACTGACTTGGGGTGCTTTGCTAAGACACAGAAGAGCAGGGATGGGGTAGAAGGGAAGAGGACATGGCTAACGTGGTTACCGTGAAGGTTTTGAGGCTCCTGTGGCTGTCTCCATTTTGCCAGTAGACTGTGAGGAGTCTTCTTGACTTAATCCTTAAACTCTGATACATAAGCTAAAAATCTGACTGGAATGAGTTTTTTGGGTTAGGATAAAGAACAAGGTGAGGTAGGAAACAAGAGGGGGAAAATGGAAATACAGGGAGTTATTTATTTATGTGGTTTTTGATTCTATTGCCTTCTAGTTACTTCTTCGAGGAGGCTGCTTCATAGAACTCAATGAAATGGAACTTTGAGAAAGTCTATTTTAAAAAGCTTTGCACAATGAGATACCACTTCACACCCATTAGGATACTTACTGTCAAGCAAACAAATAAACAAACAAATAAACCCAAACCAGAAAATAACAAGTGTTGGCAGGAATGTGGATGTGTACTGCTGGTGGGAAAGTAAAATGGTGCAGCTTCTATGGAAAACAGTATGGATTTTCCTCAAAACATCAAATGTAGAATTACCATGTGACCCAGCAATTTCACTTCTGGGTATATACCCAAAAGAACTAAAAGCAGTGATTCAAACAGATATTTGCTTTCCCGTATTTGTAGCAGCATTATTCTTAATAGCCAAAAGGTGGAAACAACTCAAATATTCATTGACAGATGAATGGATGAACACAATGTGGTATTTACACACAATGGAATATTATTCAGCCTTAAAAAGGGTGAGTCTTGCACACATTATAACATATATGAACACTGAAGACATTATGTGAGTGGAACAAGCCAGACACAAAGGGAGAAATATTTTATGATTCTGCTTTCATGAGGTTCTTAGAGTAGTCAGTTCATAAGTATAGAAAGTAGAATGGTGGTTACCAGAAGTCAGAAAGAGGAAAATGGGGAGAGGAAGAAATGGGGAGAAGGGAATGGGGGTCTATTGTTTAGCAGGTATGGAGTTTCAGTCAGGGAACATGACAAAGCTCTGAAGGTAGATGGTGATGATAGTTGCACAAAAATATGAATATGCTTAAAGTCCCTGAACCATATACTTAATGATTAAAATGGCCAGGTGTAGTGGCTCACACCTATAATCCCAGTGCTTTAGGAGACTGAGGCGGGAGGATTGCTTGAGCCCAGGAATTCAAGATCAGCCTGGACAGCATAGTGAGACCCTGTCTCTATAAAACAATACAAAAATTAGCCAGGCATAGTGGCATGCACATGTAGTCCCAGCTCTTCAGGAGGCTAAGGCAGGAGGATCCCCTGAGTCCAGGAGTTCAAGGCTGCAGTGAGCAATGATTGCACCACTGTACCCCAGCCTGGGTGACAGAGTGAGACCTTGTCTCAAAAAAAAAAAAAAAAAAAAAAAAAAAAAAATATATATATATATATGCTTTTATAAAAATCTCTTAAAAAATAGTTTAAAAATTTTAAAAAGGTCAAAATGGTAAATTTTACATTATGCATATTTTCCCACAATAAACAGTTTTGTTTTTAAAACTTACAGTGCTTTAGATCTTCATAAAAGTGGGATTAGTGAAGCAAGAATGGCTGAATAACTGGGGAAGTCTTTGGGTTTTTTATTCACAAATATCATCAACCTTTCTCACTTTGACTAAGCTCACTCAATTATCACTCCTGTCACCATGGCTAATACACACTGAGTTCTCACTATGTGCCAGGCACAGTACTGAATGTGTCCCATAGATTTTCTCATTTGTTTATTTTAATAACCCCGAGGTAGGTACTATTATAATTTGTATTTCACAGTAGAGGGAACTGATGCTTAGAAAGGAAAAGAAATTGTTCAAAGTCACACACATAGTAAGTGGTTCAGTCAAAACTCAGACTGAAGCCTGTCTGATTCTCAATTCCACATCCTCAGCCATGATGCCATACTGTTGCTTCAACCTCATTTGCACAGCTCCTTGGCACTGCCCTGGGCAGGAAGGTTGGTGTGGATCAGAATGGGTCAGGCTCTCAGGATACCATGGAATAAGCAAATTCGTGGACACTGATACTTACAGTTTAGTGAGGTTGTGCAGTCCTCTGAAAGCATAGATGGATATGAATCTAATCTTATTGTTTTGCAGGTACCTGTAAAATGATTATTAAAAGGGAAACATAAGAAACAGTTTCAATTTTGCAAGAAGAGTTGGGTTTCCCTTGTATCCATCTGTGGATGGATGGTGGTGCTGGAGGCACAGCAATGTGAACGAATTTAATGTCTCTGAATATAGACTTAAAAAATGGCTAAGAGGGTAAATTTTATGTTATGTATAGTTTACTAAAAATCAAAAAAATTTAAAAGAAGGTAAACATTACAAAATAATTCTGTGGTGCTGGGTATCACATCACTTTATTTTGCTATTAAATTTATGTATGATTAGTCTGATTTTGCTTTAGAAATCCTTGTTATAAAGGTGAACAGATAATGGACAAAATTCACTATTTGAATTCTTTAAGAATAAAATTTTAATGCATAGTATGCATTAACTAATCAGATAGGCCTAGAAGTCAGACTTTTTAGCATCTCTTGCGATAATTCTTCAAATTTTAAGTGCTCAACACAGTGCCAGAAAAACCACAAGTATATGACATCTTTGGTGCCCTAAACCATAATCCATGTTAATCACAAATCTGCCAAGCAAGTTAACCTTAATTGTATTAATTTGATACCCCAAGCCATGTCCCAAAAGTCTTTGGGGATAGTTTAAAAGGAGAATAAATGGTGAGAGAGAGAGAGAGAGAGAGAGAGAGAGACAGACAGACACAGAGAGAAAGGGAGAGAGAGAGAGGAGAAAAAAGAAGCAAAACTAGAAGAATATAAATTAAACTTGAAGGTCAAGACAACTTATACAGGACAATAACAAGACAAGCTTATACAGTTAACTAATATGGGACGTCTGACCTTGAGTCAAAGAGGTAAACTGAAGTGGGAACTACAGTATAAGCTACTGCATAGTGAGTGGCCCTATAAAGTTTTGTACATCTAATATCCTTGCCCCAGTTGTGGAAAGGAGAAAGCAAAGACTTCATGCCTGCTTTCTTGTTCTGAGTGCAAGTTACCATTACTTTTAAGGGTGTCCTGAAGTTTATATATAATTTGTTATAAAATACAGAAGCAATAAGAGAGAGATAAATATACAAAGGAGACTCCAAAACCCCCTAAATTATCTTTTTGGCAGGCAGGGCCCTGGTAGCACAGGCTTCTCCCACTAGGTATTCTAAGAATGCATGGGCATCAGGGTACCAGCTAGCATTGCTGTGAGAGGCTCAATTCAGCTTCAGTGAAATTTTTTTTGGAGATTCTTTCACCACGTTTGCCCATTTCATGATATGTGATTTATAAGTGCACCTGCCCAAAACGTGCTGTATTCAGCAGTTTTTGACCAAAAACAGCATAATCTCCATGCTCCATCCTCCCTATTCACCTGATCTTGCCCTGAGTGGCTTTTTTTGTTTCCTCGATGACAAAAGTTTTCACAGGGAAACATTTTTGCCAATGTAGAAGAAGTGAAACAATAAATGACAGAAGCACCAAAAGGTATCAAAATCAAAGAGTTCAAAAACTGTTTTGAGCAGTGGAAAAAGTGACTTGGTAGGCATATTGCATTAAATGGAGAGTATTTTTTTGAAGTTAATTGAAATTTAAACATGTAAGAATAAATACACAAATTTTTATAAATAAATTCTAGTTTTTTGAGGTTCCCCCTCATAAATGAACTTTTAGTTAATAGTAATTTTGGTTTAAAGAGATTCCCTATTTTTCTAACATGCAAGAAAACAACTTTAATTGTGATTTTTTTTCTTTTGAGTTGGGGTCTTACTCTGTTGCCTAGGCTGGAGTGCAGTGGCACGATTATGGTTCACTGCAGCCTCAAACACTTGGTCTCAAATGATCCTTCTGTCTCAGGCTTCAGAGTGGTGTGTGCCACCAAATCTGGCTATTTTTTTTTTATTTTATGTAGTGAGAAGGTCTCACTATATTGCCTAGACTGGTCTCAAACTCCTGAGCTCAAGCAATCCTCCTCCCTCGGCTTCTCAAAGTGCAGGGATTACAGGATGAGCCACTGTGCCAGGCCTTAATTGAGAAATGTTATTATAAAATTTATTATGCACCTGATGATATGTTGTGGGCCCAATCATGTAATGCATCTTTCTCACTATTACACAGAAAGACTTAAATTTGTATTTATTTGTTTCTAGCAGTCATAATGATCTACTAAGCAATAGGCTGCATCGCCTGGGGGTTGAGTCAAACTATACCTTTAATAACCATTAGAATTTTTTTGTAACTAGGCTATTTTGATCGTTTTGCTACTTGGAAGAGATGAATCATTCAAGAATTAATTCAAGATGTATTGTGCAAAAATGTTAAACTACTGTGTTACATAAACTGGAATTTTAATATTTAATTTATTGTCTATAGAGATGGGGTTTCTTTATATTGTCCAGGTTGACCTTGAACTCCTGACCTGAAGCCACCCTCCACCTCAGCCTTCCAAAGCAATGAGGTTACAGGTGTGAGTCACTGTGTCCAGTCTTTTTTTTTTTAAATGTATTTTTTTGGATATTTATTTGTAAACTAACTTCTTTAAATCATGTGGACATACAGGTCAGAAAATTCTTCAGATTCCAGAAATCAGAAAATAGAATAAGAAAGTATCCTCTTGAAGTTTTTGTATCAGGCCTAATTTTGAAAATTTCTTCTCTTTTGGTTCATACGTGTTCAGAAAAAATTCTGATAGTCATTTTCATTTCAAACCATGAAATATATTTGTCAGCAGGATATCTGGGCTTTAGAACATTTCTTTGAATGAAGTAGATTTATTTTTCTTCTGATTCTGTTCTAATCCCATCATGATCTTAATTAAATTTACAGATATGTATTTTTTAAACCAGGTTCTCTAGCATAAAAGCAAGATTAAAACTAATATAGGTATAAACAAATAAAGCATAGAATTCTGAGATTTTTCTAGATAGCATGATTTAGGTACAAAGTAGATGAACCCAAGAGTTCAAGCATACCACAATATAATTTAGTCACAAACTTGACCTTAGTAACAGGTAAACACCACCTGGGCCATTGTGGACCTTGAGAATGCACATAAGACCCCAAACTGAAGGGATGCTAGCATGTCAGACACCACTCAACTGTGAAATAAAGCTCAACCTACATGGCAGATGTGAAAATGGAGTCAAAGCCTCAAAACAACATGCTCAGAGGTTTTGAACACAGTGTTTGCTATCTTAGGTAGAGACTGGATTTAAAAACATAGGGAAGAAAATTCTTCACTGTCACATCTTGATGGCAGATCTGGCAAAAGGTAATCTTTCTCTAAGATGGGCATTGAGGTGACCTATTCTAGAATAATGCAGAGGGTAAAAGCTCCTGCATATTTCCATTTTGGGGGAATATGGTAGGAGGATTCACAGCACACGCACTCCCGTTTTTTTGGGGGAGACAGGTGTCTGAGATTTTTCTAGAGAAGCTTCTAGAACTATTCAGAAAAAAATGTCACCTGGAAATCTCCAGCTAACAGGAAAGTAATTCCCTCAAGAGGAGTTAGTAGTGAGCAGTGGTATATGAGCAGGACCCCCCAAAACCAGAATTTATTTATAAAATATTGTGTATTTATTCTTACAAGTTTACACCTCAGTCACCTTCAAAGTACTTTCTGTTTGATGCAATACACCTACCAAGATGCTTTTTCCACTGCTCAAAACAGTTTTTAAATTCAACAATTTTGAAGCCTTTTAGTGCTGCTGTTTTTTGTTTTAACTCTTCCACAGGGGCAAAACATTTCCCTTTGAGCAGTGATCGCCACAATATTTCTGGAATCAGGGATCAGTTTCGTGGAAGACCATTTTACTTCCTCGGACCTGGGAGGGTAGGGGTGTGTAGAAATCATCAGGTATTAGATTCTCCTAAGAAGCACACAACCTAGATGCCTCACATGTGCAGTTTACAATAGGGTTCATGCTCTTAGGAGAATCTAATGCAGCTGATCTGACAGGAGCTCTGTTCGTTGCTGCTCACTTCCTGCTGTGCATCCTGATTCCTAACAGGCCCTGAATGGGTACCGGTCCATAGCCTGGGGACTGGGGACCCCTGCCTTTGAGGACATTTTTCATCCAGGAAAACAAGCAAACAAAAAAAGTTGCCGTTTTTGGTAAAAACCAAACTGCTGAACCTCAGTGTAATGTGGGGAGTTGTGCTTGTAAATTACCCATCATGAAATGGACAAACACATTGAAAGAATCTCAAAAAACAAAAACAAAAATAAAAACAAAAAAAAACCCCAAAAAATCACCGAAGCCAAACAACGCTAACTGGTACACTGAAACCAATGGATTCCTAAAACATGTACTTCGTGGGGGAATCCTGTACTAAAAGGGACCTGCCCTCCAAAAAATAATTCCATTTTTTTGGGTTCCCCTCAGAGTTTTGGTCTCCACAAAAGTGGGAAGAAACTTATATGTCAAAAAAATACTAGTCAATTTTAATACTAAGAATTAAATTTTTTCTTACAGTTTCTGAAGATCATGGTAATTCTCAAAGGCATTAGACGGAAGTTTTCTTATTAAGTTCTGCTGAAGAGACCTGAAATAAATTAAATGTTGGTTTTCAAAGTTGTTTTTTCTTTACTTGCAAACTACAGCAATATGGATAATTAATTAGAAAATGATTTACTTTGACACTAGCCTTCAGGAAACGTTTTACTTCATGATATCACTCTCATATTTATAGTATCATCTGAACTAGGTCTTATTGTTGATTTTGTACTATTAAAGATCTTTTTCTTAATTACAGCAATATAATTCTTACAAAAGATTTTAAAAATAATAGAACTGGGAAAAATTTATTTTCAGTTATATTCTTTTTCTATTTTTACTTTACAAACATCAAAAGCCATGTTAGTTTTTGAGTGACAATAAAAATACTGTTTTCTGTTTAAACCATACTCAAGAACATAATTTTCCATTCCTCAATATTCCATTGCTCATATTCTACCATCTTAGAATTAGTTATGAAGGAAACTGTCAAGATACATATAGTTGAACCGTTTTTCTTCAATAAGTGATTTCACTTCAATTTCCAATAAGTTGTATAGCAAGATTTTTCTCTTGTAACACAATTAAATAAGCAGTTTGACACAGACCAGATCCACATAATTGTATTATATTGCAAAGGGCCCAAACATTCTTTTCTCTTTCTTTCTTTCTTTTTTTTTTGGTGGAAAAGTGGTATACTGTAAGAGAAACAAAATAAATCAAACAAGTGAAAAATCAGTATCAATGAGGCCAGGGCTCCTTGCATGAGCCACACATGATCTTTCCAAGTCAGTATCTGTAACTGCGAAAGGGACGATTGATTTAGGTGATCTCTAACAAAATGGTGCTATCAATACACATTATGATACTTATAAATTGAGCAGTAGACTGCATTGTCATGCAGGCTAAGATAGTGTCATACAATAAGCAGTAACAAATATTTAGATTTTTGAACCAGTGTTGATTAAACTTGGTAATGAATCCTTCTTAGAGAAAAGAGTTTCTCAGACTGTCTAGAATACACTGTTGGACTCTAAACACTGTTGTAGAGTCTAGCAGACCATGCATTCTCACTGGGGGTTAGAACTTGTTCTAAAAGAGCAAAACAAAACAAAACAACAACAAAAACCCCTGAAAAAACAAATAAACAAAAAAAATCCACTTACTTTTGAAATTATAAAGCACAGATACATACAAATACAGTATATCTGTAGTATTAAAACTCCACCACTTAATGGTTTTTTAAATGAATGACTATTAAAGGTTGATAAGCTAGTAACCTCTCTTGAAATCCCTCAGTTGCTGGCTGTTACCGATCATTCTTTCCCTCCATATATTAGCTAATGAAAATCCCTTTTCTGCAAATGATTCTTACTTGGCTTAGATTCCAAATTCTGCTTCATAACTGCTTAAATGTATCGTGTAAGATAAATTGCTAAATAGTTGGGTTTGATAAAAGGAGTCACATTAAAGTTTAATGTGTTCTTAAAAATATGTTCATTCATTCATTCATTTTCTCCACAAATGTGTTGAATGTCTGCTCTTTGCACTTTAGAAAAAAAAAAAGATAAAGTTCCTGTTTAGAGGGACATTTTTATAAGTTTGAACTCTATTTGGATGACAAATAATATACTTTGTCTATAAATAGAAACTTTTCTTTGAATAATAACTTCAATCTTACAGCCCAGGGGTCAACAAGGAATCCGTTTGTTTTATTTTTATTGTATTTACTTACTTATAAATTCATTTCAAAACCATTTATTTAGAGATTATTATTCTCTGTTGGAAATTTTGGAGGCTATACAGGAAAACTGTGGTGTAGGTCCCTACAGAGCTTATACATTTCTCATTTCAGGTGGAGACCAGGACTCCAGTCACTAAAGCACATGGAGGGATGTCTCATATACTTGAGAGAGACAAAAAATGAGGTTCTCTGAGAGAACTCAAAAGGAAGAGGTTAATTGCATTTGAGTAGAAAGAGATACTCTAGAGGGAAGGAGGCTCATTTAAAAACTCCTAAGTGAGCCGGGCTCGGTGGCTCAGCCTGTAATCCCGCGCCTTTGGGAGGCTGAGGTGAGTGGATTGCCTGAGCCCGCGGGTTCGAGACCCGCCTGGGCAGCGAGACTTCATCTCTACAATAAATCAAAAAATCAGCCGGGTGTGGTAGCGCATGCCTGTAATTCCAGCTACTTGGAAGGCTGAGGCGGAAGGATCGCCGGAGCCCAGCAGGCGAGGTTGCGGTGGCCGGGAGCGGCCACTGCACTCCAGTCTGGGCGACAGAGTGAGACTCCAACAAAAAAAAAAAAAAAAAAAAAAAAAAACTCCTAAGTAATGTTTCTTAGAAAGTTGGGCTCTTGGTTGGGCACAGTAGTTCATGCCTATAATTCTAGCACTTTGGGAGGCCAAGGCAGGAGGATTGCTTGAGCCCAGAAGTTTGACACCAGCCTAGGTAACTAAGTGAGACACCATCTCTACAAAAAAAGAAAATAATTAGCCAGGCATGGTGGTGGCTGCCTGTAGTCCCAGTTACTTGGGAGGCTGAGTTGGAAGGATTGCTTGAGTTCATGAGGTTAAAACCACAGTGAGTCACTGTGATCGTGTGGGCTCCTTCTTTCTAAAGGACAGTTAGTATTTTTACAAACAGCACTTTTTATATTTCCATAACATCCTATTGAAATAGAAAAGGTAGATGGTATTATTCTTATAGAATAGAACAAAACAAAATACTTTTTAATATAATAAATCCTTATATTTACAAAATTGATATTACAAGTTTGATTTTTCACAAAGTGTCAGTGTGTGTGAGAGAAACTGCCTTGTTTTACCATTATTGTCAAAGCTAGCTCTAGCTTTTACAAGGAATGCTCTTACTATTGGATCATGTCATTCTAGTGATTAAATCCCAGAATCTTAAAATCAACTTTCAAATAGTCAAAGTAAATGCTAAGCAAGTAGAACAACGTATAAATAATAATAATATCTATCTATGTTTGCCTGTTTTGATCATTAGCATTTATGTGAAATTTCTTCTAAAAATCTCAAATTCAATAAACATTACTTGGACTATTGGCTTATTTTTTTTAACTAATAAAATATTGTAGACATAAAGCTTTGAGCTTTAGTCCTACATCTCCAAATGCCTGTAGAAAATTTCCACTGAGTGACCCGTTACTCTCTCTCTCTCTCTCTCTTTTTCTATTTGAGTTGGGGTCTCACTCTGTTGCCCATGCTAGAGTGTAGTGGCACAGTCATATCTCACTGTAGCCTCAAACGCCTGGTCTCAGGTGATCCTTTTGCCTGAGCTACCTGAGTGGTTGGGTCTACAGGTACACACCACCATGTCTGGCTAATTTTTTCTATTTTTTGTAGAGATGGAATCTCATTTTGTTGCCCAGATTGGTTTCAAATTCTAGCCTCAAGCAATCCTCCTGCCTCAGCCTCCCAAAATGTTGGGATTAGAGCAGGAGCCACCACAGCTGGCCCAAGTTAATTACAAATTGAAAAAAATATCTGACATTGAAGTCCTAATCTTTCTCACTTACTGCCACAAAGTCTCTCCATATTGCTGTGAGAAAGAGCCATGGGAAAGCAAGGAGAGATTAGAATGCAGAAGATCTAATATTACCTCTTTGGAAAACCCTGGTAATGTTCTCAGTTCATATTCCTCGTCCACTATAAATTGCATAAACTCCCCAGATGCTGTGGGTGTGATGGTACCTCTTTCTATAGAAACTCTTCCTTCCCTTGCATATGAATTATTTGAGTTGTATTGTGTGGTTTGGTTTGAAAAAGGTAAAACTTGCCAACATTGGTAAACTCAAGAATTATTCCTATTTTGTCCTCACATACCCCAAAAGTCAGGGTCACAAGGCACTAAGACATCTGGATGAAAAAAGAAAACAACTCAGCAAAAATATTGGATTAAAATATGCAACCTCCACTGACATCTTTTTCAAAGCTTCAGTCAAATGTGCATGTTTGTGTTGCTGAAGTTTGGCTGAATTCAAATTAGTACTAGAAATCAACAACCACAAGTACTAGATATCAGCAAACCAATTATGAGAATAATTTTCTTCTATTACATAAGCTTGGATTACGTAGATTAAAAACAACAACATCTCTAAGTCAAAATGTGATTCATACAAGTTAGATTTAAATGTGAAGTTCTGGAAACAGTTTATCTAATTTATTTTACTTGTTTTCTTTCTTATTTTTTTCTTATATGCAAGACTGCATTATAATTTATGTCCAATAAATTCTGAAAGAGCTCTTTCAACAAGTGTCAAGTAAAAATTCCATATAATAGGAAAATTCTATGGAATAGTTTAATTAGCAGTCGTTTTCTTTAGTAGCACACGCAATTGATGACATCTTTGGTTAAGGTAAAATATGCTGATACTAACTACCTCGTATGATTGTTATAAGGGATTCAATAAGTTAATATAAGGAATAATATAAGATAGGGGCTAACATTTAATAAATGCAAAATAAGTATCAGTAATCGTTATAACTGGCCTAGAACAATGACACTATCTTTGAAGAAAAATACATTATTAATAATGATATGGTCTTTTTTAATTTTTAATTTGAAAGATGTGAGGTACAATTCAGGGTTAAGTATACAAATGTTCATTATGCAGGTACCCTTGTTGATGAGGCGTGTTTCCCCCTCCCCTGGCAGAATCCCACTACTGCCAATACCACAACATGGTCTCAATTATGATACAATCTTTACAGGTGTTACCTGGCTGTCAGGATGAATTGTTCTTTTCTACTTACATTACAGTCACATTTGAAGAGACTGATGGAACCGCTCGTAAATTGGTTTCATCACAGTGAAGCTCTAGATCTCGGCAACCACATTGCATGGGCACAGAACCAACCACTGGATAAAGGGGAAGCAGTAAGGCATGATGACAGTGAGGGACCAGGAAGAGGAAGGTAATGAAAAGAAAGAAATGAAAAGCTATGAGAAAATTATTTAGTACAAAAGTATATCATGTCTTACCTAAGCAACTTGGGCAATGCTGTAAGTTAAGCTTCTAAAAGTTTTCTTTTTGTTTAACATTAAAATGATGCTCGATCATAAATATTTGGAAACATACACATTTACAAGCCCAGAAAGACTGTTCTCCATTTGTTGCAAAATGAGTGAAATCATTGTTCTTCTGCCACCAAGGGGTGACACGGTAGTGTGTGATGGGTTTAATGTTCATATGAGAACTGCTTTCTAAAAATATAGTATTTATTTAGCATAATTAAAACCTTGAAAGAAGGAATAAGTCATTTTTAACTAGCAAGAAAGAGGAGAACTAAACACAAATGGTAATGTTGGCAGAATTTTTTTTAATTAAGGAATTCTTATGAGGATTTAAAAAAAATTTCCTTTGGCTTATGTAGGGAAAGAGGAAGATGTCTAAAATTTCCCTTATGGGAGTGAACATTTTCCTCCACAGCACTCTATTTCCACTATTGTTGGGTGAAGGGAGAATGAGATGTGTGCCTTTGGCCATCTTCTGGGACTGTAGTGACAGTCTTAAAAGCATGTGATTCAATTTATCTAAAGGCTATTAGAAACTTGCAATGATGTGTTCATATAGCTAAAAAGTATAATGGGATTATTATTTAGTGTAATACATACAGCCTGTTTCCTGCCCTGATGGGGAATGGACAATTATTGAGAGCAATGAGAAATATTCCCTCTCACATTACTTCCGGAGCCTAAACTCCATATCAGGGATTACAGACCAAATGTCTACAGGTGTCAGGTAAAGTCGATGTAGATTGTGTCCCGATGTCCAAATGGAACAATGTCTCCTGTCTGTTGCCATTGTAGAATAGGAACATGTGTAGCCAAGTCTGTCAACTTCCTCAAAGAAGCCAGAAATGCAGGGTTTTATGTATCATTACCTATTTTTTAAATGATAATTGCTAATTTTGAAACATCATGGGACAAACAGGACTGTCTATTAGAAGTATGTGCTTGCAGGCTTCCAGTTTCTGACCGTCACAGTGAATCTTCCAGAAAGTGGGCCAGTGTCTCAGTGGCAGAGTTGAGACCCCAGTGCATGACTGCTCGTGAGCACAATTTGCTGAAAATGCTGAGCTAGCAAAGTGCCCCTGTGCTCAGATATGGGGTCACATGTGTTCTTCCTCTCTTTCCCAGTAACTCCAGAGACTCCTCAGGGGTTTACAAGAGATCAAGACCATAACTTAGATTTAGTGTTTTGTGTAAACAGAGTATCTGCCAAGAATTTTAAAGCAGTTTTATAACTGTAAGTATCCATTTTGGCTGTGGATCTTTGCAAATTGGTTCTGCCTCTTTAAGTTAAAGTTGTGTCTATTAGAGCAATGCATGTGTCTGCTGTGGGACCTGAATGGTGAAGGCTGGGAAGCAAGATGAAGGTCCTGAGAGCGAGAGTCAGAAGGCCAAGAGTGAAGGGCAGTGAAATTAGCATTAATTCCAGGGTGTTTTTTCAGATATATGGAATAAATTACAATAATCCACATATATTGGTTATGGGGTTATCTGAAATAGGGAAAAATGAAAAAATAACACATAAGTATCCAACAGCCAAGGAATGATTGAGTAAATTATGTCACTTACAAAATTTAATATTCACAGTGTATTTTAAAAGGTTTTGTAGTAACATGAGTATCTGATTATGCTAACATGCTAATTGGAAATTTGTTAAAAATAGTTTGTACAGGAAATTTCTTCTATGTTAAAAATTTAAAAAGATGAAAAATGCGCCAGAAAACAAATGCTAATGAAATTATGGTTGAGTAAAGCAGTTCTTTCCAAATCTCTGTACTTTCCATAACCTGCAAATTTAAACTCTGTTAATGTATTGGTAAATTATAGATGTTAATGTTTTCCATGATTTTGCTCTTGAAAGGTGACTTTAAAAATGTGAATTCATTGGGCACGGTGGTTCACACCTGTAATTCCAGCACTTTGGGAAGCTGAGGTGGGAGGATTGCTTGAGTCAGGAGTTTGAGACCAGCCTGGGCAACATAGTAAGACCCCGTGAAGCTGTAGTCCCAGCTACTTGGGAGGACGAGGCAGAAGGATCGCCTGAACCTAGGAGTTCAAGGTTGCAGCGAGCCATGATTGTGTCATTGCACTCCAGCCTAGGTGACAGAGTATGACTCCAACTCAAAAAAACAAAAATGAATTTCTCACATTCTTTTACCTAGTCAAAAATGATTGTAAGCCATTCTCAGTTAAATTTCTAATCATTTCTATAATAATCTGATTTAAATAAAGTGGTGCACTAGGAAACTTCGGTTTCACCCCCAGATTTTACACTACTCTTGCCGTTCTATTTTTATATCATGTTCAAGTTTGAAAAAGATATTTAATTAGTAGTTGTAATTCCCCAAATTGTCTTTAAGTAATCTAATTAAAAATTGTACATTTATTCTTTATTAAGTACTGATGAAAAACACTACTTCTGCTCTTTTGTTTGTTTGTTTGTTTGTTTTTGAGTCGGAGTCTCACTCTCGCCCAGGCTGGAGTGCAGTGGCAGGATCATGTCTCACTGCAGCCTCAAACTCCTAGGCCCAAGCAGTCTAGCTGCTTCAATCTCCTGAGTAGCTGGGTCTATACCTACTTTACTATCATGCCTGACTAATTTTTCTCTTTTTTGTCGAGATGGGGTCTCACTTTGTTGCCCAGGTAGATCTTGAACTCCTGGCCTCAAACTATCCTCTCACCTCGGCCTCCCAAAGTGCTGGGACTATAGGCGTGAGACATGTGCCCAGCCTACCTCTGTCTTTTTTGATACATCTTTTGTCGAGTAGCTCCATTCCTTTTATGTAATTATACTTGTGACAGATTTCTTACAGAGTGCAAGATCAGGTAAAAATATATTTCTCTTGCTGACTTGGTGTGTTTCCCCCCTATCTGTTTGTTTTTGTTTTATAATCCAGACTATGAAATTTAGGTAACTCATTATTTTCCCTTTTTGACCTACTAGCTACAAAATTCAGAACTAAGCTTTGCATAGAGTTGCTGAACTTTTCTCCACAAGGATTTTCTTACGTAATTTTCTTTTTCATTTTTCTTTCCATTTACCAGTTAATGTTTGTCTTTTATAGCATGTTAATGATTTAAGTCTGTTAGTTGTTGTATTTGCATATCAAGTTGCTGAAATACTTTTGGGAATAAGGTGAAATATAAAAAGGTTCAATTAAAAATTAAGAAATGAAAAGATAACATACAATAAAAGAAATAAAAAATGATATTTTGAGATAACATGGTTTAATTCATTATTTTAAATTGTATTATCAGTTAAATTATACCTGTTCACTTTTTTCTTTCCCCAAAGTTTTTTGCTTTTTCTTGATTAAATTATTTGGTCTCCGTCTTCTGGGAGGCAGGCATGATGCTAAGATAGATTGCTGAGTCACCTATGAGACTCATGGGAAGGCTATGTATGTCCTTAAATTGAGAATTGTTCCTAGTTGTTTAATAATCTCATTTGAGTAGTGAAGACAAAAAAAATTAAAAATTTAAAAAGCTGGACCTTACATTTGTGATAGAGCATAAAAGAAAAAAACATAGTAAAGGAGTCTTTCCCTGAATTCCTGCTTTTTAACTAAGGTTTTGAAAAGCTACAGCTGCAAGCTCAGATTTACATGTGCATAATTTATTAGAATAGACAATATTTAAGAGGAGTTTTAAAAATACATCTTCTAGATTTAAAATATAATAGAGTTAATCCTCAAGTTTATATCCTTTCACACTCCCTCCAGTGTTTGTGTAAGTTTTGTAAGTTTTTAGTATATGACTAAACATAGAAAGTTATAATTAATAAGGCATTTGTAGCTCTAACATATAGCTTAGACCCCGGAAAATTTTTCTCTTGCAAATATTAAAATACAAATAACTTCTCTGCTCTTCTATTTTCTCAATTTCCTCTACACCAGCATTTATAGTGATTGTGAAAAGGGAATGCATATAAAAAATAGCAACCCTGACTGACTAACATTAATTTTGTTCACAGTAATACCTGACATGATTTATTACTTTTATACTTAAGATCCCTGAGTCATTTAAAAATAAAATTCCCAAGTTAAGATTGCATCTCTAATAGAGTTTGCAACGAGAAAACTGTAATTAATCTTTTTTTTTTGTAAAAACGTTGGATCCAACTTTTAAAAACATGGTGTCTTATTATAAGTTTATGAAAAGAAGACAACCACTCTGATTACTTACAGCATTCAGATGTTTCTGTCTCAAAGGAATATGAGGAAGTCATTTTGTGGTAACTGGCATAATATTTGTCAAGTTGCAAAGACCATCCAGTGTTGTCTCCTAAAATAAAAATCAGAGAGCAGAAAAGTTCAAGAGAACAGAAATATTCTGGTGTGTTGGGGAAGATGGGTTCTCTTTTTAAAATGAGTCACTGATTCTCAAACTTGGTGAAATAAGCATTCTCTGGGAACTTGCTACAAACGTGAGTTTCTGGATTCCCACCTAGAGATCCTGAGATCATAGGTCTGGGACTCTTCTCCCCCTTCCCCTGTCCCACCTGCCCCCACAGTAGGTGTTTCTGCAGCAAGTGGTATTTGGAATACACTTTAAGAGAAAGCAGTATTTCAGACATACCTAAACACACACACTGTTCTTAGCATTTTAAATTGGGTTTCCATAAATCTTCTTCAATCTCTAAAACTGATGTTGAAAATATATAAAGATGGATAGATGGACATAATGATAAAATTTTGAAAAGAAGGAAAACATGGCTGCATGATCTCATTTGTTTTTTTCTCTATAGGTGACATGGTAGTCAAAGTGATTCTTTTCTGGGTGCCTATACATATATTTCTCTATATTTTCTCATTTGTATATTAAACTCCTATGTTACTTTATGTTTTGTTTTTTAAAATTTATTTATTTATTATAAAGTTGTGGGATACAAGTGAGGATTTTCTACCTAAGTAGGCTGCATGCAGGAGAAGTTTGGGCTTTTAGGTGGCCCTCACTCCCCCTGGTAGAACAAGAAAGCAATAAAATTCTTCATTTAGGGGGTAAGAAGAAGTCCGTTTTTTTGGTGAAATTCCTCATGAACTTTGGGTTTCTTTTGGACATGAGGCATGAAGTCAATTATGTGCTAGAATGGACTAGTGAATAGGGATATAAAAGCAGTTTCTCTGGAGATCTTTGCAGATGGTACAAGCATTCATGCCTTTGGTGGGGTTTGAATGTGATTTGCTCTAGAACTTTTTTTTTTTCTCACATGCTGCCAGGATTCCTTAAGGATGCCAAACATATAAACAAGAAAAGAAATTATAATGTTTGTCCTATTTCTATAAGTTAGTACTAAGCCTAGTATTGATTTCATAAATTATTTCTGCCACATTTGGGGTGGTCATGGACACACTTAGTTCTCCCCTCTTTCTTGCTGTAGTTCTCAAGATAACTGTAGAGGGTAGAGGGCCGGGCATGGTGGCTCATGACCGTAATCCCAGCACTTTGGGAAGCCAAGTGGGAGGATTGCTTGAGCTCAGGAGCTGGAGACCAGCCTGGGCAACATAGTGAGACCTCATCTCCCATGCCCCCCACCCAAAAAAAAAAAAAAATTAGTGAGGCGTGGTGGCACTTGCCTGTAGTCCCAGCTACTTGTGAGGGAGAAGCGGAAGGACTGCCTGAGCCTAGGAGGTTGAAACTGTGGTGAGACATGATTATGCCACTGCATTCCAGTCTGGGCAATAGATTGAGACACTGACTCAAAGAAAAAAAAAAAAAAGAATTACTAGAATGTGCTGGGATACAACAGTCTGAGATGGGGAGGAACAGCCTTGAACTCCTGTCCCCTTTAGGGAGTGTAACAATTTGAGTTAAGTTGGAACCTCCCCCAGGGACAGGATGTTCTTCAAAGGTTTTCCCCATAATGGCCTCTGAGGTAAATAGCCCAGGTATTACAATTGAGGGGCCCTAATTCTTTTAATGCAAGTGGAGTATGTGCTGGGGAATAGGCTTATAATAGATGGTAAACTTTTGTCCCTTGCACCCTATCTGTAAGTAATTCACCTGTTCACGTGACTGGCGTGTGTGTGTTCCGTCTCACCGGAGTCAGACAATTTGGTAAACAGTGAACCTGCTTTTCATCATATATGTGTAATTCATATCTGAGACTTGAGTTCAGATATCATAGCCTTGTTCAGGCATGAGTTTGATAAAACTGACTTCACCATATCCACAGTTTCAACTCTGCTGGGTGGACTTTCAGATAATATCTCCAGCCCCCACTTTCTTCTATTGTGTAACATGCATTCGGCTCATGACAGGCACCTCAATCTCAACACTGCCAAAATGGAGCTCATGATCTTTTCCTGTACAAGCTTATTAGTGCCTAAATTCTCTGGATCTGTGAATGCTCTCCACACTCTACCAAACAGAAAGGTTACATTTAGAAATGCATGCCCAGCCCTGATTAAGTATAACTTGCATGATTCCTCCCCCGCTCCAGGTTATTCTCATATTTTTCCACTGCTCATTAATCCCTCCATGAAGATTAATCACACTTGGGAAAGGAAAGGTATTTTAAAATAAATGCTGTCTATACTTGTAAGATTAGACTTCTTTTTAGAAATCCCACTAAAAGTGAAAAATTGCAAAAAGGATAGATTATTTAAGCATTGTATTTATAACATTATTCGTCTTTAGCATTCCTCATTAGTTTTAAAACCTGATGATAGCAGATTTCAAAATAAACAAAAGGGGCAAAGTAGTATAATGACATCTCAATTCAGAAGGAGATAACTGATGTCCCTCAACGTCACCAACTAAAGACTAAAGCATGCGACTCCAGCAGGCCGCCAGTAAGCAGCTGGACAAAGACAACACCCCAGACACCAGCCAGTGCCAGCCCTTGGACACCCACGAACCAGCTCAAGTTGTCTTCTCCTGGATGAGATCTTAGGTAGTGAAAAGGGAGGTCGAGCAGGAACTCCGAAAGACTGAGCATATATAGCCAGACAGAGACTGAAAATTTCTGAGACTCTGGCGGACTTTGTGAATGTTTCTCCTCCATTCTGTAGCTAGCAGTTAGACATGATACGTCCTCAGCATATCTTGCCCCCGGCCACACCCTGGAGTACCCAGTTTCAGACCCGTCCCCACCCCAGGTCCCCTGTTCGTTATAGAAGGCCCTTCCATCTTTCCGTGGCAGCATCCTCCCTAACACTGGACTCTACCCACAGGGGACTTTCCAGACCTGCACGCATGCGCATTCCTAAGGCTTTCCTCCTATTACCTTTTGGTTATTACCATATCATTAGCATTGATTAGCATTGTGGCTTTAAAGCTCCTCTTCCCCCCATGGGTTTCGCTTAGGTACTCATGGGGAAATCGCATGCGCAGTTCCAAAAGGTTATATAACGCGAGACCTGTCCATCAAATCACGAAACGCAGATTGACAGGAGGAGAATTAGGAAAATGGAATGAGAAAAAACTCTGTAAAACAGAAGCTCACGGTTAGGGACTTGTCCTTTTTCGGACAGCCGGCTCCGTCTTTCTTGCTGCATGGAGTGTACTTCTGCTTTCAATAAAATTATCGCTTGCACTTGCAATTGTTTGTGTCGCATTTTCAGTTCCCTAGAAGCTGATAATGCATATCCATGTTTTTCAGACACGAAGCATCTGGGTTCTAGCTGTAAACGAGCTTTTACCAAATGGCTGCATGGATGTGAGATGTGAAGTTTGTAACGTCAGCCTCGCGTACATCTAGTGCAAGTTAGGCGGTTACTGCAGCCAGCCTCCGGTTTCCAGCATTGTGGGGGTAAAGAGATGATGAGCCTTAGCAGTGGTGGCCGCAGCAGATGCTTCTTGATCCTGGGCTGCACCTATGGTGGTGTGTTCCCCTCTTCTGACTTCTGCTTTTATGGTCTTTACAATTATTAAAAACATTCTTCCCTGCATGAAATCTATTTTTCACCCTTAAGACTCTCTCCCCAGATATATCTAGAGTGGTTTCTGTTTCCTCTGTCCAGAAGTGGTTGCAGGTAATAGACTTTCAAGGATAGAAACATTGGATTAGTTATCTGATCTTGTTGGTTTTGTAGAGAATGGCATTCAAGTTACCATTAGAAAATGGGGCTCATAATTTATGGCACATAGTGATGAAAAATAATTAAATCTCTATGGCTTCCTGGAATGATGTGCCCATGGGAAGCCTAGACGGTGGCAAAGTGGTTGCTATGACAAATCATTAGAATGAGAATGAGAAACTTCAAGGGTTGTGAGGTGGGATTGCCCAGGAGATAACTCTGGAGGGATTAAAGAAAGAAAACAGGATGGGCATGGTGGTTTACACCTGTAATCCCAGCACTTCGGGAGGCCAAGACGGGAGGGCTGCTTGCACCCAGGATTTCGAGACCAGCCTGGGGAACATAACAAAATATCCTCATCTCTGCAAATGAAGAAAACATTAGCCAGGAGTGTTGGTGAGGTGAAAGGATTGCCAGAGCTCAGGAGGTTGAAGCTGTGATGAGCTGTGATCATGCCCCTGTACTCCAGCTTGGGTGGCAGAGTGAGACCCTGGCTTAAAAAATAATGATAAATAAGAAAAAAATAATTAAAATGACAAGGTCAGGGTTTTACATTATCAGGTTAAAAAAGTTCAGAGAACTGGAGAGCTTCCATGACTACCTTCCATGACTGCCCTAAGATAATTGTGTATCTCATGCTTATCTACTGTTACCCCAGATCACCTGATTCAACAGGTTGTCAAGTTACAATATAAATTGAATTTTCATTTTGCCATATCTCTTGAGTGAAAATTAGAGCACTGATGGAAATTGTACTGTGTGTTCAGCTAAATTTGAGGACCCTAAATCTCCAATACCTTGCAAGCAAAAAAGGCTCCCTTTTCCTGTCTGGAAAGCTAATTGTAGTTTGCTTGAAGATGTGCTAGTTACTTTACTTGAGTTAGGTAAGCTGCCAACCTTCTCTTGCCCTTTCATCTCCAGGTTTCTTTGCTTCCCAACCAATTATAGCTGGAGTCAGGTCCCAGCCTGCCCCAGAAGACAAATGCAAGCTGGACTTAGAAAGAGAAGATGTGCATACCAATAGATTTTGCTATTTTATATACACAGAAACCCAAGGAATCAGGGTGGGAATGGTTTCTAAGAGTGCCAGCCCAGGAGGCAGAAACATAACTTTGTTTTGGGCCAACTAATTTGTATAGGTATCCTGCTGGAGTCTCTGGATTCAGTGTGTCAGCTCAAGCAGTAATTTGATGGCTTGTTGACTAAAATCTGACCTAAATGTTGGCCTACGCGAAATGAAATTGACAGGCAAATGCATATAGA